TATTTTCGTGTTTTTTTTTCTTCAGATATGGATGACGAACAATTAACAACTACTCGACATTTAAATCGAACATACCAATCAGGTAATGAAATAGCCAATAATCTACGATCATCTTCATCACATAAAGATGAATCATTAACAACATCACAACATTCGATTTCAACATCAAATCAGAATACAAATACATTATTATTTGAACAACAATGGCAACCATTCAGTTCTACAACACCTACTCATCATTTTCAAACAATAAGACCACAAAGTATTTCAGCTGCATCATCACATTCATCAAAATTTATAATAAATAATAATTCAACAAAAGATAAATCATTATATATGAATAGTGATTCAAAACCTTCTATATCAAGTATGACATCATCACAAAATAATATGTTTCAAATAAGAAATACTTCACCATCATTAATTTCATCATATAACTTATCAACTAATCAAGGATCAAAACAATCATTAAATAATTCAAATTTACCATCACAATATATGGGATTTCAAGTATGTTTTAATTTTCTTTTCAAAAAAGATTGAAATATTTTTTTATTCAGAATATGAATCCTCATGATCGTATGTTAGCTTCACCAGATGTAACACCAAAACAGTTTAATCCATATGAATCAATAGTTCCAAATAATCCAGCACAATTATCAAAAGCTTTACCACATTCACCACCATCATCTGATTCAATGCAACAATATTCTCATCATTTATCATCATCAAATTATTTTCAAACGTACAATATGAATCCATTATATAATGCACCATCTGGTCATCAACAACAACAACAACGTATGCATTTTTCACCTATGATACCCGGTAGTGTTTTTACGAGAACGAGACGTCATCATCTTTATCATGATCCATCTATGTATCCTCCTCATCCAATAACAATAATGCCAATTCAACAATTAAATATTCAACATTTAGGCCTAGATGCACCATCAAATTTTCAACAGCAACAAAATCAATCAAATGATCCACAACTTGACCCAATAATAAATTATGTAAAAGCACCACCACAAAATTCAAATCTATATGATGAACCATCACCACCTCATTGATGATTTTAAAAAAATAAAAATCATTTTATGTTGTTTGTAAGAATATTTTTTCTTTTTCTTTTTCTTTTTCCTTGTTGAACTCTACTAATTGTAGTTTTTCTGTCTTTTTCTCTATCGTTATTGTTGATGATGTCCTCTATTTTTTTTGGCTCCTACATCATATCTATACGTACACATACACACATGATACCTTGCTCCTTATATGTCATATATGTGTGTGTTATCAATCATCAAAAGAAACTAAAACACCTCCTGTAGTCTTCTTTTTTTCTCTTTCAACAAAAGAAAAAATATGCTAAGTTTTCTTTTTTTTTTCTTTTTCGTTATTTGTTATGTATACGATATGAACAATAAATAATAGAATTTATATAACAATGCGATAGCAAAAAACAAACAAATAAAATGTTTATATATTTCATTTTTGGGTTTTATTCAGTGATATTTTGTTTTATGTTATGACGAAAAATGAACAAGTTACCAATTATTATAGAAATTCGAAACTGTCCAAATAAGTGATCGTTAT